TCCCGGATAATAGTGATCCAAGAGAGGAAAATTTTGAAAGCCAGTGTTTATTGTGTGGCAAGCATTCAGGGGATCTCTACTATCAAGATTTCATGCCTGATGGCATCTCTGGCAGATATGGGGGATCTTATCGTTATTTATTTGAGGTTTCAATTCCTTTTCTCATAAAAGAATAGACGAGAAACTATATGAGAAAGACCCCCAAAGTATCAAACAAAAATACACATTTAACCCCATCTTAAGTAATTGAGAATAAACTGTATATTTTACATTATTTAGTTGTTTTTATTGTTGTTCTTCCTTTCCATTATTTTCTTTAACATTGATCATGAAAGTGGCGTCCTCTACCTGTACCTGAATGTTTGGTATTATATGGTTTATAGTCAATTATTAACTATTGCCGATGTCATTTTGTTTTACTTTCCGTGTTTTTTGTTGGGGATGTCTGTTTATTGTTTTAAAAGAACAAGTACAACAAAAGAAAGAACAACATCGTAGCTGACCATCATATCAGCTATTTACTTTTATTATGAAATGTAAATATATGTTCATTAAACAAATCAAAGAAACAGAATTTTACGAAATAGTTGTTTTCTTTCATCAAATTGTAGAGTTTTAGGGTGTGTTTTTATCAAAAATCATCTTAAGTGATAAGAATTGGACAGAGAAGGGTTAAGAGGAGGTTAAGAAGATGATATAAGTAATACAGAAAGAGAGAGAGAGAGGCGGAGAGAGAGAGAAATGTGGAAAAGTGATCCGGGAGACTGAGAGAGAGAGGGGGAAGAGAGACAGAGAGAAAGAGAGAGAACGAGAGAGAGAGAGAGGAAGGGGAGAAAAGTGATCTAGGGAAACTGAGAGAGAAAGAGAGAGACTGAGAGAGAGGAAGAGAGAGAGAGAGGGATAGACAGGCAGAGAGGGAGAGAGAGCGAACGAACAATACGACGTTATGAAAGGCCGTTTATGTTATGATACCAGAGACAGAGACTCGTAAAGATGCGTAAAAATATGAGATCTGTAATTAATTATCACTTTAATCGAGCATGGCGACACACTTAAATGTCGATTCTTGGTCCGGATATGATTACCAGTGAAGCAAAACACACGTTTTCGACTAAATTTTTGCAAATTGTACTGCTAATTTGTACAAAATGCTTGGTAATTCATCCAATAATTTTCTAAGAGTGTTCCAATGTGCGTTCCATTAAAGAAAAACGAAACTCAAATCAAACAATTATTGTGAACGATCAATCAGCTATTTAAAAAATAATTCCTTGCTTTTCATGAATTAGAAGTCATATGCAATTTAATTATACGATGATTACGTTTGACAAAATCTGACACTGTTGCTCGGTGACGCATTTATGAATAAATGCAATTAAAGTATCATTAAAGCCAAATTTTGGAGAAAAATGTCTTATAGACATATAGCTTAAGAGCTGAAAGAGATATTAATACACTTCCATCTCATGTAACATGCTGAGAAATTGAATGTCCAGGGTTTTTTCTAGCTCGGCTTGTAAATAGACATGTTTTTGACTAACTTCAATGAAATTTAATTTATCTTTACAGAGTTTGAGGACAAATCCCTAATTTATAAAAAGATAGTTCCAAGGCGAGATATGTATGAGCTGAAAAAGGAATTTCCTACACTTGCACTTCCTGTTACAAGCTAAGAAAATGAAATGTCGACGTGTGTCAGAGGTAGGATTAAACACGCCCCCCCCCCCCGAACCTCGCTCCGATCACGTGATTCACCTCTTGAACAAGTCAAGTTAAATGATTGGCAATTCGTTGCGCGTATGTGACTGTTTAGTAATGGACGCTGAAATTCATGATGTTTTTCGTCGAAATAGAATTTATAAGCAGCTGTGCTCATTGAAGTTGACTAATAGTCCGAAACAAATGAACATTAAATTACTAAAATACTGTGCTCGTCAAGGATAAAAACAAGAACAATATGTATATATATACAATCAAGTAACAGACAAGTCGTTTCTTCAAAGATACTACCAGAACATTATTTTGATTAATCGCTGTGACCTTCCAATGTATTCATCATTATTGTAAATTAATATGCTACACGTGCATGAATAACATAAAGTGATCCAATACAGGACACATATTGCTCTCAGCAATACCCTGTGCAAATCAAATATAGGTTCATAAACACGTTCTTTTTTTAATCCTTGACGAGCACAGTAATTTAGGAATGTATTGTTCATTTTTTTCGGACTATTAGCCAACTGTAGAAATATATGGACAGATTAATTAAATAACATTCAAGCATTGATGAAACAAATGATCATTATGATTTCCCGGTTTTGTGCACAGTGCAACTGTATATGGCTTGGAATGACTTTAATTTGAAAATAAATGGAGGGTGCATTTGCAATTAGGCTAATGGTCATTACACACATTGACGTATACGATTTTAAATACCAATACAACTGAATAAAAACATACCCAAAGTCACAGAAATACAGGAGATATATTGCTCTCACCAGTACCCTGTGCAAATCAAATATAGGTTCATAAAAACTTATGTTGATTAGCATCTTATTTACAGAAATTACAGAAGATTACTGTTATCATGTTGAATACCTGAAATAATCTAATTACAGAGCGGCTAAACTCTTGAAACATCTACAGATAAAGATGAGTGCTGGTTATTTAAATTTAACTGCATGACATGTACGAGAGACACTGTCCAGAAGCGATTTGAAACTGTAAATAAAGTTATCTGGAATTTGGATTATGCAGTATACAGGGCGTATCATAATAAAGGATATTGAAGTTTAATGACGATTTATATGAAAACTACTGATTTCATAATCAAGCATTTTATGTCTGTTGTAAAGGACAGAATGTCCTCTTTTTAATGACACCCCGATCATACTACTACTGTCACAGTTGACTGAATAACAGAGCATTGTTGTCCACCATGTGAAAGGTGCACTGTGCCAAGTTTGATAACATTTCCTTCTTAGACACATAATCCACTCATTGTTCAGCATTTCAATATGTCTGGGCTGACACAAGCACTAATCTTTATAATTTATCTGTGAATGCTAACTTGTCACAGTGCACCTTTCACATGGTGGACAGCAATGCTTTGTTATTCAGTCAACTGTGACAGTAGTAGTATGATCGGGGTGTCATTAAAAAGAGGACATTCTGTCCTTTACAACAGACATAAAATGCTTGATTATGAAATCAGTAGTTTTCATATAAATCGTCATTAAACTTCAATATCCTTTATTATGATACGCCCTGTATAGGAGTTTTGTTAGGCCAAATTGTGTAGGCCTTTTGTGTGAGTTTGGGATCATTAAAATGATAACACTATAATTTAAATCTTGTTGGAAAACACAACTAGTTAAAGGCATTGGACACAGATATATGATTCCAGGGGGTGTTTCATAAAGCTGTTCTTAAATTTACGCATGACTTTACGAACGACTTGTATATGAAAAGCCAAACGGGATGCTCAATCCTTATTAAATATATCAACTAAAGTTGAACTGTGCAGATGTAGATTAACATTCTTAAGATAACAAACATTTGTAATGCAAAGTATATTTTTTGCCATAATTTAATTGAGGTTATTGAAAATATATAAACAAAATTTGGGCATCCTACCTGGCACTTCATATACAATCGTTCGTAAAGTCATGCGTAACTTTACGAACAGCTTTATGAAACACCCCCTGCAATGTTTCATGGTTTTTATGCTATTTTTCTTGGTCCAAAACAACCCACTCACTTTACAATGAAAAAACATTTGTTATATTAAAATGCAGTTTCACAAAAATTACTTAATTGTATACTGACTTGATCCATGATTATTCAGTCTTTAGACTGTTGTTCCTATCCATGGTTTTCTTTGGTTGGGGTTGTCATCATATTTTTCTGGGGCTTCTTTCCACCAGTTCTCAAGTCCAGATTTGAAGCGATTGATACTCTTCACAACATCACCTGGAAGACCACTATGATTACTTTTAAAACATTATCATTTCAAATGAATCATATTTCCGTGCAATATGGCTTACATATTCTATTTGATATAATTGTTCTCATTATCAACTCTTGAGACAGACACGATTCACATTATCATGGTTATGAGCCTAAATTATGACTTGGTGAATTTTTTTTTCCTTCAGGCGAATCTTGCGTTGTAATAAGTGTATTGTCGTCGTATTTCATACGTTAGAAAGTAAAGAGAAATGTGGACAGTGAAAAGGGAAGAGAATGAGATAAATGGAAGGAGATTAATGAAGAGTAGTAGAAAGAAAGGGTGAAATGTAAGTGTGGAAACCATCTTTTGTCCTTCCCAAAAAAGTGATTAGAGCAAATAAAATGTCTAGCTCTTTTACCTAGGATTCTACTAAAGTAGATCTCCAACACAATGGCCCGAATTCAAAAATGAGGTTCGTCGACTAACCTATGAAATGTGCGTCATATGACGCACATTAACCAAGGTTTGTCGACAAACCACCTTTGTGAGTTTGAGTCAATTTATCCACAACTAAAAACTAATAAAGTCGCCCTCTATCGATGAAAAGGATGAATATCGCCATTTAGTTCAAAGCTTCTCTGTGGGAAAACCCACTTCAATTCAAAGGGTGTACAACTGTATTATTTTCACAGGCAATCTCGTGTGATCTAAGGACTGTTATCACATTTGTATTGATGTATACAGCTGAATAGAGACTCAGAACTTTTGATAAAAGTTTCATATTTGTAATCAACGTGAAAATTTGATACAGAACTGCATGCAGTTACGACACACTTGTTACGTACAAACTAGATATTGGTACAACTATAGTAAGTCCACGGTACAATCTACTACTTCACTGCATATTGTTTGTGCTTGCATGAATTGACTGTTGGCTTTTATTACACATTAGCTGATCACACTGTTAAGCTTTATTGGACATTGGATATATTTGTAAAATTAGCTCGTGTTTATAGTAATAGCCAAAAATCCGATATTTGTACCAATGGCTGAGAAGACTGAGGAAGAGAAAGCTCCAAGCCCTCCAGAGAACCTGACGTGTCCACTATGTCTTGATATCTTCGACGAGGCAACAATCCTGACTTTATGTGGTCACACCTTCTGTCGGAAATGTCTCAAGAACTATGATCTGTCCCACCAGGGTCTCGATCACATGATCTGTCCTCTCTGCCGGAATATCACCAAGCTGACTGCGAACCGTGTTGATGATTTCCTCACCGATATGGCGGTCAAAGGACTCGTAGACGATTACCACGCCAAGTGTGGAGAGATGAATGCTGTCCTTGAGCTGTGTCCAAGATGCACTGCTTGCAGGTTTCATGAAGATGCTGTCTCATTCTGTAAAACGTGTAATTTATATATGTGCACTAATTGCGACTACAGCCATAACCAGCTGACATCACTCTTTGAAGGTCATGAGATTGTATCCTTACAGGATATCATCAACGGAAAGGTCACCATTGGTCATCTTTCTGAGAAGTGCTGCATCCACAAACAAGAGAACAAAGATATGTTTTGTGAGGATTGTAAGGTCCACGTTTGTTTCAAGTGCGTGATCGTCGGTCATCAAAATCACAAAATCAAGAATCAGGCTGATTTCGAGCAAGAGTTACAGCTTAAGGTAAACTTGGTTTCACTTAAGGTACCATAAGCGGGTAGCGGGTACGATATGCGCCAGAAGCGGGGAGGGGGGGGGGCGCACCCTTGCCGGAAGAAAACGTTTGACATCGTTAATTTTGAAGTATAACCATTAAAAAGAGGTTCTAAAATACGAAGTGTCACCATTCCAAATTCAAATTCTCTCTCGATCGCTGCGCTCCCTCGTACATTAGTAAATGTACCCTTTTTCCTCAAAAGCATCAAAGCGAGGAGGCTAATGATTTTTCCCTATCAAGGTGGCAGCTACATTAATGTCCACCCCCCCCCCCCTCCCTTACAAGACATAATTCTCTGTATATCGACTAGTTTGAATAGTATACAAATATACACTGCCTTGAGAGGTTCTGGTTAAAACTATGCGCAAGAGGTGACTCCAATAGTACTATTTGCTGAGGGGCGCAGCCCGAAGCAAATGGTACTTTTGGAGTCACCGAGGCCCATAGTTTAACCAGTACCTCGAATAGAAGGCATGGTATATTTGTTTTATATCCTGCATCAAAAATTTATTAAAAAAAAAAAAAAAAAAAAACATTTTTGGGAAGAAAAAAATTTCGAAAATTTTTTTTTTACAAAAAATGTCAAGTTTTATCTAAAAAGATTTAAATTGTTTTATTTTCATTAAATTAAGATTTGAAGAAAAAAAATTGATTCAATTCAAAAAAAAATTCACATTTTTTTTCCAACTCCCAAATAGTAAACCAAAATAGTACTCTCATATAGTACTTTCTAAAAATAGGTCAAATATTTTTGGTCATGTGACGAGCTCTCAACCAATCAAAAGCCAACAAATTTTTGAAGCAGGGTATAATACTAAACAGATTTAAAAATGCAACATACAGTGATTTCATGTTTTCATTAATCCATGATAACTTCCTCAATGTAGCTCCCGGCGTAAGAGAAAGAAAAGATCGAGGAAATAGCATGACCTAGCTATGATATAATGTATTGTGTATTAATCTGATGTAGCTATAACAATACAGAAATATTTGTCTTTGTCTGTGATTATGATGACGATGAATATAAAATTATTTATTTTTTCATCAATAGTAATAACAATAATAATAATAAAAAGAAGAATAGTAATTATGATAATAGTAACATTGTTAATAAAAAATATAAATCATCATCATCGTCATCATTATCACCATTATTGATAAAATAGGTAGTACTATCATTATTCTTCTCATTATCATTATTTTGAATTTATTACGATGATTAATATCATTATTATAATAACACCATTGATATTTCTGTTTATCTTATATTACTGCATTCATAGAAATGGAATTAAAAATTAAAATGGCATACATCTCATTCTACCATTTTTTTCTTCATTTCTCTCTTATTCCTTTTTTTTAGGTGAACGAACTAGTCGAGCGTTGTGCCAGTAAGAAATCAGAACTGGAGAAGAACATTCAAAATGTGGAAGTACAACGCCATGAAGTATACACTGCCATGCAGAAACTACTGGACGATGTCAGTCAAGCCTACAGCATCAAGGCCAAAGAGCTTGAAGAAAATCATCGAAATCTCATCGAGCGCATCAATGCAGTAAAGCGGAGTTTCGATGACGACCTCAACGTCTTGAAATCAAACGATCGAACGAGGATCAAGAGTATTTATAGTTCAGTAACACTGGTAGCTAATGACAGACTGGGTCGTCTTGAGACAGACAGTCTGTCTGCTCATACCTTGCTCTGTGAGGAGCTGGATGCAATGCTGAAGGAGGCTACTGATCACACTTCTGCGGCAGCCATTACGAAGAAAGCACAGGAGGAGAGGTTCAAGCCTGCAGATGATACTCGTCTGGACCTCGGGAGCATCTCAGAATCAGTTCCTAATCTGCAAGTCATTCTGTGTGTAGATCTACGGGAAAGGATGTCAGGTATGACCCCGTACTCTGGCGATAGTGTAGCTATCGGGTATTTGGATAAACATGGTATAGATATCATTGATTCAGCTGGTAAACAAGAACGGTTTGCAAACATACCAAGTAACATGATGTGTTATGATCTTGTGTTTCAAAATGATAGGTCGTTATGCATAACGACGGGTGCCAGTAAAGCACGCAGATATTCTCCCAATGGATCCAGGAAATCAACCATCCACATGAAAGGCAATTATATCTATTCTCTCAGACTAAACAGAAGTCCATCAGATGAAATCCTCATCTCTAACACTGATAAACAAGCCTATATATATATGACCCGACTGGATCTACTCTCAAACACACTGTTCCAACAGAACACAACGCGACAAGGCAGGTATCTTCTACCAGGTCGGGTTTGATCGTCACGAGCTCATGTAACATCAATCCAAGCGTGGTGACGGTCTATGACAGAGATGGGAATGCTGGTGAGTCTGTACGAGCTCCAGACCATGTCTGCATGTTTGCTGCCGTGGATGAGCAGGACATAGTGTATGTAGCGAGTGTTGATAGTAAGAATGAAAACGTGGTGTTCAGGCTCTATGACCTGGATGGTTTGAACCTGAAAGAGAGAGTTGAGTTCAATGTACTTAATCTGAAGCTTCGTTATACTTGGTGTTACTTGGTTTCCCTCTCTCCAGACATGCTCGCGTTTGCTTGTGACAAGGAGTTGTATTTTATCAAGGTATCACTGTAATCCATGTCACACTGTAATTCATGTCACACTGTAATTCACACTGTAATTCATGTCAGCACCGAAAGGTGGACCTGTGCGCTTTACAAGTAGCCACTATTATTATTATTAGTATTTGTACACTCTATTACCATTATTAGTGTTATGTATACCTCTCTGCTCCAGCTCTACTCTAAAATGGACCTATCAAGTGTCATATTTTAATGTTTATTATGTGATCTAAACGAATGAGGAGATGTCCATTCTCTCGATAGATCTTAGTTTCCTCTGTACAGATCTTAGTTTCTTCTATACAGTTGACATTATTCAATATAATAATAACGTTTCTCTTTCGAAATAATATGTAATACGTAAAATATACATTAACTATATATTTCTTTCCTTGTGTAATTGTTTTCTCTTCAAAGTTTTAACAGATGATTGTTATCGCAAAATCAAAGAATAACAACGACTACAGACACACTGTTGAAACTTTATCGTCTTGGCTCATCGTTTGTGCGATTTACTCTAATGAGTACCAGATGAAAACCTTTAGTAGATCAGTATTCGTTGATATAATCTCTGATTTATTGTCCAGTTGTTTGTGTGTGTGACAAAGCACATACTGACTGAATATTTTTCTATTTTTAGAGCAAAAAGGTATTTTTTGAACGTCTGGAATCAATATTCCCTTATCCCCTGTCCTACTATTTTATCGTAACAAAATGTAATGCTACTTAAAAGCAATTCAAAACGTTATAAACTTTGAGGTTCAATTCAAGAAGTGCTTCCACTTCAGACGCAAGCAATAAGAGCAAGTAATAAGATATCATATTATTTTTAACACGAATATTTATAAAATATTGATTAACTTCTTATTCGTGTTTTTTCACCTTATGTTGTTATTCTCAAGTATTTAAAAGTTTATTTTGTTTGGTATTATGTTTCTTAACTTTTATTTTGATTATTTTTTATATTCAAATGAGTGACAAAAATATTAATACTGACCTTGTTTTTACGACCCCATTATAAATAGGCTTTTTAGGTTTTATTAGTCATCCTGTCAAGTTTTTGGTATAATTGTTTTGTTTTCATTTCAAAATATCATTTTACACTTCGTAGTTATGCTACATTGAACTTGACTAGTTCATCAAATCCAATTTATTTTAAATCCTTACATGGCCGTGGTGTAAATACTGTACTAAAGAATGTAAGAGTATTGTGATATCTTGTAAAGTTGTATAACAATTCTGTTATAATTGGTGACTTCACTTCGAATATTTCATGTAAATTGTCTTTTTCAAAATAGTTACCGCTTTAATTCGATTCCTTTAGTTAAATTCGATTCAATTCAATTGAATCTATACAGATTATCAATTTTTGACGTGGAATTTGGAATGTCTTCATTTGCATTTTATAACGGTAGATAGAGAATGGAGAAAGATAGGATTATATTATATATATTGTAGATGTGATGATAATATTAAATACATACCTCTGGTTATGCTAGTAGACATGCATGGCAAACCCAGGGATGAAACTGGAGAAAACATTATTGTAATGTTTCCCCATCATTAAAAAAGCACCCAATGTATATATGTTTGTAAGTGGATGACATCAAAGAAAATGCATGCATAAACGATCTAGCTTTAGGAACACCCCCCCCCCCTTCTCTTTTTAAATAAATGAATCTGTTACTCTTTTCCTTTTTTCGAAGAGGGGAGGGGAGTGTTGCCTAACCGCATGTCGATGCAAAATGTTGTTCCGTTATGTTTTTGTTGAAGAAAGAAAGTCAGTTCTCATGGGTAAATTGGGGCGACTAATTCGATACACACTCCAGGTCGCTATCCTGTGTTTGTACACAGTATTTTAAAGTACCTCATACACTTGTCTTAAATTCCATATGTTGTATCTTCCCCATTTGTTTAGTCTTTTTAAAACAGTTATAGTTACTATGTATAAGCTGTAAACTAAATGTACATTGTTTCGTTGCATGCATACGGTATTGTTGATTGACACTGGAAATTCCTTTGGTGGTGGACAGAGAAACAGGAAGAGAAAGAGAGAAACGGAAGGAGATAAAGGAGGAATAGTGGTTACCGTGCTTTACTCTTACAAGTATAGTAATAAAAGCAATTAAAACGCAAGATACGTTACAGAGTTGCCAATTTGTGTTGATTGATTGCAACTTCAAAAATATCTCAACTTTCTTCTTTTCAATCAGTTTTTGCGAGAAAAAAATTCACTGATCTTTAATATTCATTATTTTAAAAATGGGTACCTTTCAACTTAACACAATGTTTGAATATATCATCATGGGATGAGAGATTACATGGTCTGATGATTTATCCATGTTTTGCCTTTTCTTCCCAGCCGCTACAAGCTGCCTTTCTATTCCTAGTTCTGCTTTCTTTTCTTCACTTTCCCTCTCTTTCTTCTTCCAGTGTAAGTGCTGCTTCAAAGGGATGAAGATATTGTGTTGAAAGCTTCTTTGTTTTTGTTTTGTTTGTTCTCCATGTATGTTTGTTGTTTTCCTTTAAATACACTGCCTCCCATCTACTTATTTTCCATCTCTCTTTGTCTCCTTGTCCGTCTCCTATACTAGTCTTTCCCAAATCCATCACTCTGATGTACCCTTCCTTTTCTCTCTCTTTCTGATCTACTTTCTCCTCCATATTCTCTCCATCTTGTCTGCACATACATACCTCATGTGAGGGTACACCTCTACTGCATCTATCCGTCTCTCTCTCTCTCTCTCTTTCCAATTTTTCCTCGATCTCAAAATCAGAATCATTGTTTAAGAAAGGAGTGAAAGATAATTTGGTGTTGGTCAAGGGCAGTTGTTTTAAGAAAGGAAATTGTGTTGAATGCTTCTTCAATGCATACATTTACCTTTTCGAAATTGACCACTGTAGTCAGATATACTCACAAACTCCCCCCCCCCCCCCCCAAAAAAAAAAAAAAAAAAAAAAAATAATAATAATAAAATAAATAAAATGAAATAAAATAAAATAGATAATAATAATAATAATAATAATAATAATAATAATAATAATAATAATAATAATAATAATAAATCAATAAATCAATCAATTAATCAATTGATCCTTCAGCGAGCGTACATGAAGTTCTGTTTTAATAACACAGACATTCGACCCACGCCTTAAAATAAAAGGAAAATTCCTTGATTAGCTTTTGACACTTGACCAACGGTGTGTGAGAGTTATTTGTATAAAAGCAGTACAGCCACAACAAATTAATAACTGAGTTAAGTCTGTAAAAGTATGGAGGAAAGAAAATGAACTGAACATTTTAATTTCTTTCTTTTTTTCTATATACAATTTTACATAAACAATCTGTGTTCACATCAGTCGCTCCAGTTAACCCCTTGACTACTGCATTATCTGATTCCCATAGACTTAACACAGAGACCACCAGGTTCCAGTAAGCAATGGGTTAACGAATCAGTATGGTTATAATCATTGGCACACTTACTTGCTAGAAAAAAAGAGAGGTGAAGAAGAAGGAGAGAAAAAAGAAACAAGTGTATTAAACATGTTAAGCTGTACACAAAGCGTAAATAAATACACTTTTTTTTCGCAGGTAACGACTCGTACGTTTCTCTCTTTCCATGACCTATAGTAAGCTCTGCCTCTAAGTCTGGTTGGAGGGAAGATCTGCACGCGTATAGTACAGTTTAGGTGTGACTGAATGTGATCAACAAACAGAAACAGGAAATACATCAAACAGAAACGGGAAATACATCAATATACATGAATAGCATATAGCCAAACATATAGTCATAAATGTCATGAATACAAAATACACCATTGCTTTGCACTGGTTTCAAACTATTTCAAATGAAATAGAAAAATAGCATTTTTTTTAATTTGTCTAGCAATGTATGATCGACACCTCAAATATTAAACTTCCCTATTACTTGATAATGTGCAACACAGCCTGTCTGTTGTATATAGTCTATTTCTATTTTATACATGATATTCAAGGTTAAATTGACGCTGAACCGGTAAGATTTACACTTTACCGGTTACACTGCCCAGTCATTAGTCAACAAATACATTTCCATTATTTATATCAAAACACAAAGTCATAAATACGAACCCATATATATATATATCAAAAGCATTAACCAATCTTTTGTTTATATATCGATCAATCAGATCATATAATGCCCCACCTACACCATTGAGTTATACATACAACTACACAATACAATACAATACAACACAGTACAATTTATACAATTCAATATATATTTCTTTATGCCACATAATACATGGGGATAAAATAAACTAACTTAACACACCATTTCCTTTTGAAACAGGATGTACATCCTGCACATCAAACATAATTAAAGGTATAGACCAGTTTTGGAAACACCCCCTCTCAAAAAATGAAATCAGGAAGCTCTTACCAATCATGTGATATAATATGTTTTGACTAAATACCCCCGACTCAAAAAATGAAATAGAATCTCTTATTACCAATCACGTTAAAGAATATGTTTTGACTACCCCCCCCCCCCTCTCTCAAAAATTGAAATGGAAGCTCTTATTACCAATCATGTGAAAGAATATGTTTTGACTTAATGCCCCCGTCTCAAAAAATGAAATGGAATCTCCTATTACCAATCATGTTAAAGAATATGTTTTGACAACCCCCCCCCCTCTCAAAAATTAAAATGGAAGCTCTTATTACCAATCATGTGAAAGGATATGTTTTGACTAAACACCCCCCCCCCCCTCAAAAAATGAAATGGAATTCTTATTACCAATCATGTGAACGAATATGTTTTGACTAAACACCCCCCTCTCAAAAAAAGAAATGGAAGCTTTTATTACCAATCATGTGAAAGAATATGTTTTGACTAAACACCTCACTTTAAAAAAATGAAATGGCAAAAAGGATGCACCAAAGCGAGCCATTTATGCATCTTTTTTTGTATTAATCTCCCACTTCTGAGGGGGGCACATCCCCCCTCAGACACCCCCCTGCGTTCATTTTCCTGTTAGTTAAACTCAGGACTGTTTTATTTTTAATTAGGAAAAAGTATGCACCAAAGCGAGCCATTTATGCATCAATTTAGACAAAATCTTCAACTTCGGAGGGGAGCGGAGGGGGGCACATCCCCTCTCAGACAACCACTGCGTTCTTTTTCCCTGTTAGTTAAACTCAAGACTGTTTTATTTTTAATTTGGCAAAAAGTATGCACCAAAGCGAGCCATTTATGCATTAATTTGAGAAAAAGAACTTCAACTTCTGAATAGTGCACATCCCCCTCCCCCCTCAAACACCCCCTGCGTTCTTGTTCCTGTTAGTTGAACTTAAGACTGTTTTCTTTTTAATTTGGCAAAAAGTATGCACTAAATCGAGATATTTATGCATCAATTAAAAACAAACAAAATCAACTTCGGAGGGGGAACATCACCCCTCAGACACCCCCTGCGTTGCGCGCCCATTCGCCCCCCCCCCTAACAAAATAACCTGGTGTTGCCCCTTTATTTAAACACCAATACAAATGAATAAAAACATACCTAAAGTCGCAGAAATACAGGAGACATATTGCTCCCACCAGTACCCTGTGCAAATCAAATATAGGTTCATAAACACTTATGTTGATTAGCACCTAATTAACAGATATTACAGAACATTACCGTCATCTTATTGAATACCTGAAATAATCTACAGAGCGGCTAAATCTTTTAAACCACTACAAATAAAGATGAGTGCTGGGGGGTGGGGTGTTTCACAAAGATTCGAAGTCGAACGTAACTGTAAGTTGGGCTTAAGTATTATGGAGAGCCATTTGTAGCCTTATTTTGAAATATATTCAAAAGCAAAAATTCAAGTATTTTAGACTTTTCATGAATTCCACATCAAGAACGTGAAATCTCCCATGATGATAGAAAATATAAATGATTTGAATCAACATTTTGTGCCTTTTAAAATAACTTTTACAAAATATTTGCAAGGATACTAATGGCTTTCGATAAAATTCCAACTTAGAGATAAGGTCAATTTAGGATCTTTGTGAAACACCCCCTGGTCATTTAAATTTAACTGCATGACATGTACGAGAGAAACTGTCCAGAATCGATTGATAACTGTCTATGAAGTTATCGGGAAATGTTGACTGTGTAGTATATAGGAGTCATTGTTTAGGCCAAATTGTGTAGCCCTTTCGTGAAATTTTGGGATCATTAAAATGATATTATAACACTATAATGTAAATCTTGCTGAAAAAACACAACCAGTGAAAATCATTGGACACAGAATGATTCCAGCACTGTTTCTGACATTTCTGCTACTTTGCTGGTCCAAAGTAACTCATACACTTTAAAAAGCAGTTTCTGAAACAGAACTCTTAAGATTACTTTTAATACATTATTATTTCAAAGAATCATATTTTCTTGCAATATGGCTTTAATACATATTCTATTTGATATTATTTTCTCATTATCAGCTCTTGAGACAGACACGATTCACATTATCATGGTTATGAGCCTAAATTATGACTTTTTTATAAGATAGGAAGTGGTGAAATGTTTTTTTCAGGCGAATCTTATATTGTAATAGGTGTAGCCTGAAAGGATTCCATACGTAAACAAGTTAAGAGGAATGTTGCCAGTGAAAAGGGAAGAGAAGGGGAGAAATGGAAGGAGAAAGAAGGGGTGAAATAGAAGTGTGGTTACCATCATTTACCCTTCCCAAAAAATGATAAAAGCAAATAAAATGTCTTGCTATTTTACCTAGGATTCTACTAAAGTGGATCTCCAACACAATATATCCACAACTAAAAACTAAAAAGTCGCCCTCTATAGATAAAAAAGGATGAATATCGACATTAAGTTCAACAGGTGCTTCATAGCGGCTGCGCGCGCATTCTATGTGGGAAAACCCAATTCTATTAATAGGATGCACAAACTGTATTTTTTTCACAGGCAATCTCGTGTGAGTTTAGCATTGTGATCATATTTGTATTGCTGTATACACTTGAACAGAGACCCAGTACTTTTGATCAAAGTTACACATTTGTATTCAACATGAGAAATTGGAACAGAACTGCATACAGTTCGGACATACTTGTTTCGTACAAACAAGATATCGGTACAATTATAGTAGGTCCATGATGGTACAATCTACTACTTCACTTAATTTTGTTTGTGCTTGCATGAATTGACTGCTGGCTTTTATTACACATTAACTGATCAAACTGTAAGCTTTATTGGACATTGGATATATGCGTAAAATGAGCTAGTTTTTGTAATAAGCCAACAATCCGACATTTGTACCAATGGCTGAGAAGATTGAGGAAGAGAAAGCTCCAAGCTCTCCAGAGAACCTGACGTGTCCACTATGTCTTGATATCTTTGACGAGGCAACAATCCTGACTTCATGCGGTCACACCTTCTGTCGGAAATGTCTCAAGAACTATGACCTGTCCCACCAGGACCTTGATCACATGATCTGTCCTCTCTGCAGGAATACCACCAAGTTGACTGCGAACCGTGTCGATGATTTCCTCACCAATGTGACGGTCAACGGACTCGTAGACAATTACCATGCCAAGTGTGGAGGGATGAACGCTGTCCTTGAGATGCGTCCAAAATGCACTGCATGCAAGTTTCATGAAGATGCTGTCTCATTCTGTAAAACGTGTAATTTCTATATGTGCACTAATTGCGACTGCAGCCATAAGCAGCTGACATCACTCTTTGAAGGTCATGAGATTGTATCCATACAGGATATCATCAACGGGAAGGTCAGCATTGGTCATTTATCTGAGAAGTGCTCCATCCACAAACAAGAGAACAAAGATATGTTTTGTGAGGAATGTAAGGTCCACGTCTGTTTCAAGTGCGTGATCGTCGGTCATCAAAATCACAAAATCAAGAATCAGGCTGATTTCGAGCAGGAGTTACGGATTAAGGTAATCTTGGTTTCATTTAGGGTACCATAGGCGCCAGAAGCGGGGAGGGGCGCACTCTTGCCTAAAAAAAAGGTTTGACACCGTTAATGTTGCAGTATACCATTAAAAAGAGGTTCTAAGAAAGTGCCACCATTCCAAATTCTAAAATTCTCTCTCTGTCGCTACGCTTCATCGTACATTAATAGATGTACCTTTTCTTCCAGAAGCATCAAATCGGAGAGGCTAGTAAAAATAAAATTCTCAAGGTGGCAGCTAAATTAATTTCGCCGTATATCGATTAGTTTTTAATAGTTCTGAATAGATTAAAACATATATGTTTTCAGTAATCCATGTCGACTCCCTAAATGTAGCTCCTCGTAAGAGAAAGGAACAATCGATGAAATGGCATAAACTAGCTATGATGTATAAGAATGTTTAGTATTCTGCTCTAGCAACACAATTACAGAACGCTCTACGCCAAGGCCCCATAAACGGGGATCGGAGCAGGCAAAGTTACCACCGACGCGCTAGACAATTTAGCACAATAACATTTGATAATATTACAGAATAAAAAAGCTTTTAAAGTGCTCTAAAATACGGTTTCTACTTTATTGTCCTCGCGATCACTAGGCTTCCTCTCATTTTAATAGTTGGAATGAGTCTTATCATTGTACAAGCCTTGTCTACTACACTGTCGCTCATTAAGGTGGAATATGTTTGTTTTACCCCAATTCATGGAATTATTTTTAAAATAATTTAAAAATAATAGATGTAGATGATAGTATACATTCTCAGATTTTATTGAATAATAATTTGCCAATGTGTGTTTTGCGTGACTGCTAAAGCATGTGTATGCTACTATGCTTATGAACTAGGGGACCTACGCCCTTAAGTCATAAATGACAGTAATGAGGATTAATGCCCCACAAAAGGGCACTAATATAGCACATCGACACGGTTTTGATCCTGGGGCCTCACAGTTACGAGGCCAATGCCTTGTCACTTAACCATGACTGTACGCAGCGGGGGCTAGGGTAGGGGGCAGTTTCCATAATTAAAAAAAAAACAGAAAATGCAATTAATTTTTAATAATTTATTGCACTTTACCCCGGTTCCCAACATAAACAAATCTTCTGTGTGCCCATGCCTTGAGCCATAATGCATGGCCGTCCAGAGAATTTGTTTATGTTGGGGACCGGGGTAAAATGCAATAATTATTGAAAATTTATTGCATTTTCTGTGTTTTTTTAAATTTATGTAAACTGCCCCCTACCCTAGCTTCCGCTGCGTACAGTCATGGTTCAGTGACAAAGCAATGGCCTCGTCGCTTGTCGCTGAGGCGGGGGGGGGGGGGGGGCTAATTGAAGTTCGTAAGCTTAGCTATATTTCATAGAGCACATTAGTTTAATATTCTTGGAAAAAATCCAGAGTGTTTAGTAACATCATCTCAATTTTAATTCAGTTCAGTTCAGTCCATTTTTTCCAACCATTTAAAATGAATTATATAAAGCATGTAATATAAACATTCAACAACAAAAATGAATAGGATGCCCCTTAAAGCTAAGGCTTCATAAAAACGGAGCACTCAATACATATAGGCCCAATTCTTTCTTCTCTCCCTGTTTTTCTGTTTCTCTCAATCTCTCTGTCTCTTCGTTTCCTCCTCCATTTTGTGGTTTACCTTTTAATGGGTGAAAAGGCAACCTGCCCAAATTACCCTGATAACTTCGTAGTTACCCTTTTTTAGGAAATTAAAAATTTAATCCTCGAAAATCAATGAGATAAAAAAATCATTGGAATAAATGAACCATTATTTAGTATTTGTGCAAAAGGGCCCATAGCAATTGTTATCTGTACTTTGCCACAAAATAACAAAATAGATATATTTGTCTTTGTTTATGATTATGATGGCGATGCTGATTATAATAATACTTTTACTAGCTCTGTACGTGTATATGATATTAAAGGGATCGTTTAACAATGTTAAATCTGAGATACATGGCCCTACGTGTTATCAGTGTCTGTGATATGGTGTAATATTAAAGCCCTAAAAAAATCCGCTTCAAAATGATCAAGAAGTGCCTCAAAAAAGTAAAAATCTTTGAGTGACCGGTTTTACCATATTCGTTCTCCCCAATAGACTGTAGTGTTATGAAAACCGTCAGGCGAACGGTTTTCAAAATTTGTAATTCCAATCATAAATATCTTGATAATCAGACAGGCGATCGGCTTGTAAAAGTCATGGGGTTCCTGACTGACCTAAAGGTTTATAATTATCATTGCATCATGAGCTAAATCCAGAATTTTGTTTCAGAATCTGAGACAAAGTTACCGGATCCCTTTAATGCATTTATAGAAATGTACTTATTTGGTTGGATTACTTTTTGTATGATACATGATGAAGGGTCGTGGTTCAATTTTTTGTGAAACATAAGACGCGCACAAAATCAGGTTCCATGTAATTGGCATACAGCTCAATCTACAACATGTTCTTTTCATTTCTCTATTATTCATTTCTCTATCAGGTGAACGACCTAGTTCAGCGTTGTGCCACTAAAAAATCAGAACTGGAGAAGAACATTCAGAATGTGGAAGTACAACGCCATGAAGTATACACTGCCGTGCAGAGACTCCTGGACGATATCAGTCAAGCCTACAGCATCAAGGCAAAAAAGCTTGAAGAAAATCATCGTAATCTCATCGAGAGCATCAATGCAGTAAAGCGGAGTTTCGATGACGACCTCAACGTCTTGAAATCCAACGATCGAAAGAGGAATAAGAGTATGTCTAGTTCAATAGCACTGGTAGATAATGACAGACTGGGTCGTCTTGAGACACACAGTCTGTCTGCTCATACCTTGCTCTGTGAGGAGCTGGATGCCATGCTAAAGGAGGCTACTGATCACACTTCTGCGGCAGCCATTACAAAGAAAGCACAGGAGAAGAGGTTCAAGCCTGCAGATGATACTCGTCTTGACCTCGGGAGCATCACAGAATCAGTTCCCAAATTGCAAGTCATTCAGTGTGTTGATCTATGGAGACCGATGTGGGGTATGACCCCGTACTCTGATGACAGTGTAGCTATCGGATATGGTAATACACATGGTATAGCTATCATTGATTCAGCTGGTAATCAAGAGCAGTATGCAAACATACCAAGTAACATAAGGTCTCATGATCTTGTGTTTCAACAAGACAGGTCGATATGTATATCGACGAGTAGCACTGAAGCACACGTATATTCTCCCAATGGATCCAGGAAATCAACCATCCGAATTAAAGGCAATATGTATCATCTCAAACTAAACAGAAGTCCATCAGATGAAATCCTCATCTCTAACACTGACAAGCAAGTCTATATCTATGACCCGACTGGATCCACTCTCAAACACACTATTCCAACAAAACACAACACGGTGAGGCAGGTGTCTTCTACCAGGTCGGGTTTGATTGTCACGAGCTCATGTACCAGCAATCCACGCGTGGTGACAGTCTATGACAGGGATGGGAATGCTGGTAAGTCTCTACAAGCTCTAGACGACGATGTCTCCCTGTATGCTGCCGTGGATGAGCAGGACAGGGTGTATGTAGCGAGTTTTTATCGTGAGAATGATAACGTGGTGATCAGGCTCTATGACCTTGATGGTCTGAACCTGAAGGAGAGAGTTGAGTTCAATGTACTTAATCTGACGCTTAACGGTGGTTGGTGTTACTTGGTTTCCCTCTCCCCAGATTTGCTCGTGTTTGCTTGTGGCACGAAGTTGTATTTTATCAAGGTATCACTGTAATCCATGTCACACTCTATTACCACTATTGCTCGTGTGTTTACCTCTCTGTTCCAGCTCTACTCTAATATGGGTCTGTAATGTGTCATATTCTATCATTTCTTATGTGATAACTAAACGAACCAGAAGATTTCCATTCTCTCAATAAATTGTAGTTGCCTCTTTACACAGTTGAAATTATCCAACATGATATAATAACGTCCCTCGTTCGAAATAATATGTAATACGTAAATTTTACATAAACTATATACTTCTTTCGTTGTATAATTGTTTCTCTTTGAAATTTAAACAGATGATTGCTACTGCAAATTCAAAGAATAACAACGACTACAGACACACTGTTGAAAGTTTTTCGTTTTGGTCCTCGTTTTGCGATTTACTTTAATGAGTACAAGATGAAAACCTTTAGTAGATCAGTATTCGTTACTATAATCTTTGATTTATAGTCCAGGGCACCGTCTTACACAGAGTTCATATCAATCGCAACTATGTACCAGGCCTAATAAAAACCCGATTGTTTTCGTGTTTTTTTCCCCGATTTTTTCCCGATTTTTTTTCTTCTTCCCTCTTTTATCCTGATTTTACCGATTTCCCCGTTATTTTCTCTAATCTTCCCTATTTTGCCCTATTTTTTCCCCAATTTTCTTACTCAAAAGGGGGGAATGTTGTTAGATGCCATTTTTTTCCCCGCGAATCCTCTTCTCTTTTTTTTACTCAAGGGGGGCGTGGATGAGGGGAAAACAAAAAACCTATTTTTTTTTTAGTGCTCACTATCACCCCTGCTATGTACCTAACGGATAGGAGACTGCAAACTTACAATTGATTTGGATCAATTGTAAGTCTTTGTAAGATGGGGCCCAGTTGTTTGTGTGTGTGACAAAGCACATACTGACTGAATATTTTGTACTTTAGAGCAAAAAAGTTCTTTTTAAACGTCTGGTATCAATATTCCCTTATCCCTTTTCCTACAATTTTATCCTTAAAAATGAATGCTACTTAGAAGCAATTCAAAACTTTACCAACTTCGAAGTTGAATTTGAAAGGTACCTACCTCTTAAGACGCAAGCAATTTGAGCAAGTGATAATGTGATATCATATAATATTTAACTTGAAAATTGATAAAATATTGATCACATGTTTTATTAGTGTTATATCCCTCATGTGGTTATTATCAAAGTACAGTATTTAAAAGGTTATTTTGTTTGGTATTATGTTTTTAAATTTTTACTGTGATCATTTTTTAATATCTAAATGTAGTAACAATTAATACTGACTTCGTTATTAGGACCCCATTATGAAGAAGCTTTTAAGCTTCAATGGGTCATCCTATCAAGTCATTGGTATTATTGTTTTATATTCATTCTATAATATTATTTTACTCTTCGTAATTATGCTATATTGAACTTGATTAATTCATCAAATCCAATTTCTTGTAAAGCCTTACAAGACCATGGTGTAGAAAGTACTGCATCCCATTGAAAATTCCTTTGTATTCAGTTTGCACCCTGTCTGGAAAGCTATTACATTGAATGCCCATCATAAAGAAATGACACCCAGATGATATAAAGTAGATGACATCGATGAAAGTCCATGCATAAACGATTTAGCTTCGGGAACAATCTTCTCTCCCCCCCCCCCCCTTTATAAATCTGATATTCTTTTCCTTTTTTTTTTTGGAACAGGGGGAGGGGTGTGATAACCGCATCTTGATCGAATATGTTGTTACTTTATGTTTTTGTTTTTGGTGAAAAGAGAAAGTCAATTCTTATGGGTAAAAAGGGGCAATATTTCGATACACACTCATGGGGGGGGGGGGTGTTTCACAAAGAACCTAAGTCCAACTTAACTCTAAGTTGGATTTAAACATTATGGAGCGCCATTTGTAGCCCTTAAACAAATATTCAAAAGCAAAAATTGAAGTTGTTTAGACTTTTCATAAATTCTACATCAAGAACATAAAATCTCCCTCACAATTATAAATATGATTGATTTGAATCAACATTTTATGCCTTAAAAAAAACTTTTACAAAATATTTTCAAAGATACTAACGCCTTTCTATAATTGTTAAGTCCAACTTAGGGATAATTTCAACTTAAGTTCTTTGTGAAACACCCCAGGTCTTTAATTTGTGTTTGTATTTTGATATACACAATCTAAAATTTCGTATTTCGTACTTTCGTCACGTGTTTTTTTAAAGTTTTATTGGAAAATAGTTATATAGTTATATAGTTAAATGTACATCATTTCGTATACGGTATTGTTGATTGACACTACAAAATTCCTTTGGTGGTTGACAGAGAAAGAGGTAGAGAAAGAGATAAAGGAAGAACGGTGAAGAGAGAGGTGGTGAAAAAACCTGTGTAGTTATCAAGTTGTTCTGGTCTTTTCTACAATTAAAACTTTTTACAAGGGTTGGATTGCCCATTTACTTATCAAAGTTCGTATTTAGAATTTTCCTCTTTATTCTCTTTTTCTCTTAACTTAGAAAATAGTTTAAAAAGTAGTATACGCTGTAAATGTAGGCTATATATTACACCAACATGTTCATTTTTCTTTGTATAAACACAGTATTGTTGACATATACTGGATATATTTGTGGAAAGTCTGGATTAAACTTGTCTTATGTGATATTGACATCATTCTGTAAAATAAGTATCCTGTGTTATTACTGTAAGCCTATCCAAATTCAATCACAAGAATCTCACATTTTCTAAGCATAAAAACTACTGACTCTATTTGTTAATCGTTATTGTGGTTATAAAAGAAATCTCTCAAAGCAAGGTGACGTAGAATTTGGCAAATATTTGATCCTTACCAGCTTTGATCATATTTCCAGTCTTTACGCTGTAAAATCTCTCGCCATGTTTCTAAAGCATGTCATGTTATCTCATACTCTATGCCGCTAAGACGCTACGCCACGAACAAGTAACAAAATGCAAAATACACGATGCACTCTCAGATGAAGGATCATCTCCCCCCCCCCCCCATGTCAATCTTTCTCTTTTTCCCTCCATTTCCGTTTCTTTATTCGGTCTTTACAGGCATAGAAACCCCAATTTTCCAGATTATATCCTCCTCCTCACAATCTTTTTTTCTCTAATCGATCTCAGAATTAGACTAGTTCTTTTATTTACTTTCCATTTTCCTTCTCCACTTTCCCACTTTGAAAAGTGCATCTTTTCCTTTAAATAAATACCCCTTTTCACCTCTGATGATTGAGTGCACCTTTTCATTTTGATAAGCACCCCAAATGTCCTTCTGTTTAGTATGTGCAATGTGTTTAGTACGCCCTATGAACAACGTGTCCCATTTCAGGATATCATACAATCGTTAATTGGATTTATACGTATCCCGGATAATAGTGATCCAAGAGAAGAACATTCTGAAAGCCAGTGTTTATTGTGTGGCAAGCATTCAGAGGGATCTCTACTATCAAGGTTTCATGCCTGATTGCATCTCTGGCAGATATGGGTGATCTTATCCTTATTTATTTGAGGTTTGAATTCCTTTTCTTATGAAATAATAGACAAGAAAATATTTGATAAAGACCCCCAAAGCATAACAAAAAATGCACATTTAACCCCATATTTAGGTAATTGAGAATAAATTGTATATATTACATTATTTCGATGTCCTTCTTGTTCTTCTTTCTTTCCACTTTTTCTTTAACATTGATCATGAAAGTGTTCTCCTCTACCTGTACATGAATGTTTGTTATTATATGGTTGTATAGTCAATTATTAACTGTTACCGATGTAAATTTTGTGCTGCTGTGGGGTTGTCTGTTTATTGTTTTAACACAGCAGGTAAAACAACAGGTAGAACATCATCGTAGCTGACCATTATATCAGCTATTTACTTTTATTAAGAAATGTAAATATATATTTCTTTAAAAAATGAACGAGAAAAAGAAAGAGAATTTCACGGGGGAAAAAAGTTTTATTTCATCAAATTGTAGAGTTTTAGGTTGAGTTTTTATTCAGAATCATCTTATGTGATAATAATTAATAACAGATCGGGTGACTGGGACAGGGAAAAGTTAAGAGAGGGTTATGAAGATGATAGAAGTAAATACAGAGAGAGAGAGAGAGAGAGAGAGAGAGAGAGTCTGTGAAGGGAAGAAAGTGTTCCAGCGAAACAGAGAGAGAGAGAGAGAGAGGGAGAGGGAATATAGAAAGAGAGAGAGAGAGAGAGGAAGGGAGATAAGTGATCTAGGGAGACTGAGAGAGACGGGAAAAGAGAGAGAGAAAGAGAGAGGGAGAGGGACAGAAAAAAGGGGAAAGGTGATCTTGAAAGACTTAGAGAGAGAGTTGGGAGTAGAAAGAGAGAGCGAATAAGAGAGAGAGAGAGAGAGCGATGGAACAATAACGACGTCTTATAAAGGGCCGTTTGTGATATGACACCAAAGACAGAGACTCGTAAAAATGGCGTAATAATATGAAATCTATAATTCGTTATCACTTTAATCGAGCATGGTGACACAATTAAATGTCGATTCTTGGTCCGGATATGATTACCAGTGAAGCGAAACACACGTTTTCGACTAAAATTTAGCAAATTGTACTGCTTTGTACAAAATGTTTGGTAATTCATTCAATAATTGTCTAAGAGTGTTCCAATGCTTCACATATACAGTGCGTGCGATAAAGAAATGAAACTCGGAATCAAACAATTATTGTGAACAATCAATAAGCTTTCTAAATATTATTCCTTGCTTTTTATGAATTATAAGATATAATTATGCTATTTGATGACACAATGTTACGTATACCAAAATCTGTTGCTTGGTGAAGCGTTTATGAATAAATGCACTCAAAGTATCATTAAAGCCAAACTTTGGAGAAAAGGTTATATAGACATGGCCTAAAAGAGAAATTAATACACTTTCACCTCATTTAACATGCAGAGGAAATGAAATGTCGAGGTTTTGGTTCAGCTCGGCTTGTACGTGGACGTGTTTCTGACCAACTTCAATGAAATTTAGAAATATCTTTACAAAGTTGGACGATATTTCCCAAATTCTAAAACGATTGTTCCAAGGCGAGACATGAATGAGCTGAAAGGGAAATACGTGTGGCCATGCCTTGAACCATAATGCATAGCTGCACAGAGGAATTTTTTCTTTAGGGGGCCGGGGTAAAATGCAATGAATTATTGATGATTAATTCTTTATTTTTATATTTATTTGTGGCAGGTGCCCATACCCTTGCCCCCACTGCGTACAGTCATGATTCAGTTGCATAGTATTGGCCTCGTAACTGTGAGGCCTCAGGATCAAAGCTGTGTCTATTAGCTATATTAGTGCCCTTTTGTGAGGCATTAATCCGTATTACTGTCAGTTATTACTTAAGGACGTAGGTCCCCTAGTTGATAAACATAGTAGCTTTAGCAGTCACGCAAAACAAACACTCGCAAATTATTGTTCAATAACATATCAGAATGTGTACTTTTATCTAGATCTATTAGGAATAAATCATCGTCAAAATCATTCCATGAATTGAGATAACAAAATATTCCACCTTTATGACCAACATTGTATATAGGAGTAATTGTTTAGGCCAAATTATGTAGGCCTTTTGTGAGCTTTTGGAACCATTAAAATGATAACACAATGATATCAATCTTGCTGAAAAACACTACCAGTTAAAACCATCGGACACATTATGATTCCAGCACTGTTTCAGGCTTTTTCTGCTATTTTGCTGGTCCAAAACAACCCATTCACTTTACAAAGAAAATGTTTGTTATCTTAAAATGCAGTTTCACACACAGAACTTTTATGATTAATTTGGATACATTATTATTTCAAATGAATCATATATCCGTGCAATATGGCCTACATATTATGTTTGATAATTATTTTCTCATTATCAGCTCTTGAGACAGACACGATTCACATTATTAGGGTTATGAGCCTAAATTATTTTATAAGAGAGGAAGTGGTGAAATGTTTGTTCAGGCTAATGTTGCATTGTAATAAGTGTAGCCTCGTACGATTCCATACGTATACAAGTTAAGAGAAATTTTGACAGTGAAAAGGGAAGAAAATGAGAGAAATGAAAGGAGATTAGGAAGAGTAGTAGAAAGAAGGGGTGAAATGTGTGGTTACCATCTTTTACCCTTCCCAAAAAATGATAACAGCAAAAAAATGTCTTGCTCTTTTACCTAGTGGATCTCCAACACAATATATCCACAACTAAAAAATAAAAAGTCGCCTTCTACAGATAAAAAGGATGAATATCGACTTTAAGTTCAAAGGTGCTTCATAGCTGCGCGCGCACTCTTTGTGGGAAAGCCCAGTTCTATTTATAGGATGCACAAACTGTATTATTTTCACAGGCAATCTCGTGCTTAGCATTGTGATCACATCTGTATTGATGTAGACACTTGAATAGAGACTCAGTACTTTTGATCAAAGTTACATATTCCTAATTAACGTGAGAATTTGGTCCAGAACTACATGCAGTTAGGTCGCATGTGTTAATACGTACAATCAAGATACTGGTACAATTATAGAAGGTCCATGGTACAAGCTACTACTGCACTCCATTTTGTTTGTGCTTGATTGAATTGACTGTTGGCTTTATTACACATTAGCTGATCACACTGTAAGCATTATTGGACATTGGATATATGCGTAAAATTAGCTCGTTTTTGTAATGAGCTAAAAATCCGTCATTTGTAACAATGGCTGAGAAGATTGAGGAAGAGAATGCTTTAAGCTCTCCAGAGAACCTGACGTGTCCACTATGTCTTGATATCTTCGACGGGGCAACGATCCTGACTTCATGCGGTCACACCTTCTGTCGGAAATGTCTCAAGAACTATGACCTTTCCCACCAGGATCTCGATCACATGATCTGTCCTCTCTGCAGGAAGATCACCAAGTTGTCTGCGAACCGTGTCGATGATTTCCTCACCAATGTGACGGTCAACGGACTCGTAGACGATTATCACGCCAAGTGTGGAGGGGTGGATGCTGCCCTTGAGATGCGTCCAAAATGCACTGCATGCAAGTTTCAGCGAGATACTGTCTCATTTTGTAAAACGTGTAATTTCTATATGTGCACTAATTGCGACTGCAGCCATGAGCAGTCACACTTTGAAGGTCACGAGATTGTATCCCTACAGGATATCATCAACAGGAAGGTCAGCGTTGGTCATGATTCCGAGAACTGCTGCATCCACAAACAAGAGAACAACGATATGTTTTGTGAAGATTGTAAGGTCCTCGTCTGTCTCAAGTGCGTGATCGTCGGTCATAAAAATCACAAAATCAAGAATCAGGCTGATTTCGAGCAGGAGTTACGGCTTAAGGTAAACGTGGTTTCACTTAAAGGGACTTGGTAACATTGTTCAGATGAGAGATAGTGGTGCTAAGGTAGTGACTTCAATGCTAAATGTCCAATTAAAGATAATCTGAAAATTTGAGTCAAAACGGATCATTATTCATGGTACAAGTTGGGAAAAACTGATCTGATCGATTCCTTAATTCTCCCAACTATATTATTACAATTTAATTACATTTAAGGTGAATGAAAATCTTCACCAAGCAATGAAATGGCTCTACATTCCATTCCAGACATTTAAGTTTAGACAGATTTTTTTTTTGCCTGTTTTATGTCTTTTTTCATGGAAAAACGGTTGGAAAAATTCAAAACTGGTTGGGAGAATTTAATGTTAATCACTGTTTATAGTAAGTAACATTTTATACACAAAATAAGCAATTTTTTCATCAACCTTCAACAATGTTACCAAGTCACTTAGGGGTAACTTAGGCGCCAGAAGCGCACGTCCTTGCCGGAAGAAAAATAAACGTTTGACATCATTAATTTCGCATTATAGCCATTAAAAAGAGATTCTAAAAAAAACAGTGTCGCCATTCGAAATTCTAAAATGACTACTATTAATAATATGTCTTATCATCATTTAGGGCTATTATTGTTTTAATCATGACGATGATTATTATCATTATTATAATAATAATACATGTATTACTATTTATGTTTATCTGATGTACTGCATTCATACAAATTAAATTATTTGATTGGATTGCCTTTTAAGAAAGCAGAAAAAACAAAGTATTCAATTCCCCTGTCCTCGTACAATATGAGATGGAGGGTCGTAATTCAAATAATTCTGAGTTTTGTAAAACATTAGGCGCAAGCAAAATCCGGTTTTCAATTTTCAATCAAGCTCCATGTATTTGGCATACTACATCTCATTCTACAAAATGTTCTTTTTTATTTCTCTCTTATTCGTTTTGTTTAGGTGAACGAACTTGTCCAGCGTTGCGCCACTAAGAAATCGGAACTGGAGAAGAACATTCAGAATGTGGAAGTACAACGCCATGAAGTATACACTGCCGTGCAGAGATTACTGGACGATGTCGGTCAAGCGTACAGCAACAAGGCCAAAAAGCTTGAAGAAAATCATCGGAATCTCATCGAGCGCATCAATGCAATAAAGCGGAGTTTCGATGACGACCTTAACGTATTGAAATCCAACGATCGAAAGAGAATCAAGAGTATTTGTAGTTCAATAACACTGGTAGATAATGACAGACTGGGTCATCTTGAGACAGACAGTTTGACAGCTCATACCTTGCTCTGTGAGGAGCTGGATGCCATGCTGAAGAAGGCTACTGATCGCACTTCTTCAGCAGTCATTACGAAGAAAGCACAGGAGAAGAGGTTCAAGCCTGCATATTATAATCGTCTTGACCTCGGGAGCATCTCAGAATCAACTACTGATCACACTTCTGCTGCAGTCATTACGAAGAAAGCACAGGAGAAGAGGTACAAGCCTGCAGATGATACTCGTCTCGACCTCGGGAGCATCTCAGAACCAACTACTGGTCACGCTTCTGCTGCAGCCATTACGAAGAAAGCACAGAAGAAGACGTCCAAGCCTCATCTGGGCATCGGGAGAATCACAGAATCAGTTCCTAAATTGGAAGTCATTCGGTGTGTTGGTCTACGGGGACGGATGTCGGGTATGACCCCGTACTCTGATGACAGTGTAGCTATCGGATATAGTGATGAAAATGGTATAGATATCATTGATTCAGCTGGTAAACAGGAGCAGTATGCAAACATACCAAGTAACATGGTGTGTTGTGATATTTTGTTTCAACAAGACAGGTCGTTATGCATATCGAAGGGTGTCTTTGAAGCGCACATATATTCTCCCAATGGATTCAGGAAAGCAACCATCCACGTGAAATTCATGAATGCCAATATCACACTAAACAGAAGTCAATCAGATGAAATCCTCATCGCTAACAATGATCAGCAAGTCTATATCTATGATCCAACTGGGTCTACTCTCAAACACACTGTTCCAACGAAACACAACACGACGAGGCAGGTATCTGCTACCAGGTCGGGTTTGATTGTCACGAGCTCATGTTTTTACGACAATCCAAACGTGTTGACGGTCTATGACAGGAATGGGAATGCTGGTGAATCTCTACAAGCTCTAGACGACGATGTCTGCCTGTTTGCTGCCGTGGATGAGCAGGACAGGGTGTATGTAGCGAGTGCTGATCGTGAGAATGGTAACGTGGTGATCAGGCTCTACGGCCTTGATGGTCTTAACCTGAAAATGAGAGCTGAGTTCAAAGTTCTTAATAATCTGAAGCTGTATTATGGTTGGTGTTATTTGGTTTCCCTCTCCTCACACATGCTCGCGTTTGCTTGTGGCTACAAGTTGTATTTTATCAAGGTATCACTGTAATACATGTCACACTATATTACCATTATTTTAGTGCGTATACCTCTCTGCTCCAGCTCTACTCTAATATGGGCATATAACGAGTCACATTATATTGTTTTTTATGTGAACTAAATGAAAGAGAGGATGTCTATTCTCTTGATAAATTTTAGTTGCCTCTATACACAGTTGAAATTATCCAATATGATATAATAACGTCCTTTTTTCGAAAGAATATGTTAATGATTATGCTGTATACTTCTTGCGCTATGTAATTGTTTTCTCTTTGATATTTTAACAAATGATTGTTACAGTAACATCAAAGATTAACAACGATTACAGACTGGTCTTTCATTCTGGTTCATCATTTTTTGCGATTTACTATAATGAGTACATGATGAAAACCTTTATATATATATATATATATATATATATAAATGATCTTCTCAATTGCTTTAGTAAATTGAAGTTTATATTGTTTGCCGACGATACTAACATTCTTTACTCAACAGATAATTATTCATTAATTAATAATGGTTTGAACGATAAATTGACCAAGGTGTAATACTGGTTTAATAGTAATATATCGTCTTTGAATACTGAACCGTCCAATCTAATATATTTTTACAATAGAACATTACATATTCATTCCAACATTTCTGAACATTTAAAAATATCAATGAATGATAAAGTTATCCAAAGAGTCACACAGTTAAATTTTGAGGCGTTTTCAATAATGAAAGTATGTCATGGACTGACCCTATTTTGTATATTACTTATAAAGTGTCAAATAGTGTTGGTATCGTTTGTAAATTCCGCACAGTTTACCTCAAAGCATATTGATATTGTTGTAAAATACATTTATTTTACCATATTTAACTTATTGTAATGTTGTTTGGGCAAATACCTACAAGTCAAATTGAACTCTCTTTCTTTGTTACAAAAGAAAGTGGTTAGAATTTGCTCTTTAACTTCTTATCGTGCCCATACTAGACCATTTTTTTTTAATCTCAAGATTCTTGATGTGTATCAATTAAATAAATATTGCATCTCAATTATTATTATTTAAACACAATCAAGGTTTTTTTCCCAGTTCACTTAACAATATGCTTTCACTCAATAATGCAGTTCATACATATAATATGAGGAATAAAAAAAAATATCATATATGGGTTGTTGAAAAATCTTATATATTATTTTCTTTCAGACATAAAGCACCAACAATATGGAATACTTTCAAAATAACATAACATCTATAATGAATTACAATGGATTTAAAAGATATAAGGCAGCATCTAATCACATGTGATTTTGAGTAGAATACTTTTTCACTATTTATTTATGTAGGTATGTATGTATTTGTAGGGCTTGTACGGTTTTTGTTTGTTTCTGTTATACAAGTTTTTCTGTGGGACAAAATGATTGTATGTAATTTCAAATCTTTATTATATTCATCACATTTTGTTTAAATATTTTAGGGGAGATATCTCGACAAAGTCATTTATCTGGGTATATTTACCTTCCCCTTTGTCCATTATCGTTTAATATTTTAATGTACTTATGCATATTTTAGTGAAATATTTTGCGTGTTATTTACAATACCTTTTGCAAATGTATGTGTTCTTGTAATGTGAATTTTATGGAAATAAATAAACTTAATTGAATTTAAAATTGAATTAGTAGATCAGTAGGGTATTTTTCTTATCTTATTTCCTATACTATTTTATCGTAACAAAATTTAATGCTACTTAAAAGCAATTAAAAACTTTACACGCTGTTGAAGTTGCATTTAAGAGGCACCTACCACTTTGAGACTCAAGAAATAGGTGCAAATAATATGATATCATTATGTTTAACTTGGTAATTGAAAAAAATATGAAATAACTTCTTATTAATGTTATATCCCTTACATTGTTATTCTCAATGTATTTAAAGAGGAGGTTGGGTTCTGGGAAGAGGTGAAAAATAATTTGTGAGCGTCATCATTCTTATTATGCAAGTGTAGAAGAACATCAGATAAGACATGTTGCCTGAAAAGCATGGCTCTTCAAACGCCTTTATATTCTAAATATGTCATGTAACATTGTAAAACTCGGGGTGGGATTTTTACGCCACGTGTTCGTGTAGTCCCATATACATCTGTCTGTGTATAGTGTTTGTAACTTTACCAAGACTTGGCCAAATTTCTTATCATTGTGATGATTCCAGAACTTTGCAATACACACAAAGTCTTATATGCTAGATGATCAACCTTTTCTGGTCAATTCCACACGGTTTCTTCCATAATGCAATCGCATGACCAGAACTCAACTTCATCTTTAACAGTTCATTTTGTTTGGGTTTATGTTACTTCATTGTTACTATGATTATTTTGTATATTTAAATGAGGTAATAATTGTTTAAAACTGACTTTGTTACTAGGGCCCCAATGTAAATAAGCTTTTAAGCTTTCATGGGTCATCCTGCCAAGTTATTGGTATTATTATTTTTGCTTTCATTTTAAAATATCCTTTTATTCTTCGTAGTTATGCTACATTGAACTTGACTAATACTTCAAATCAAGTTCATGTCAAAGCCTTACAGGAACATTTGGTCAAATAATGCGTTCTATCAATAGTTCCTTTGTATTCACTTGGCACTCTGACTGGAAAGTGATTATATTGAATGCTCTGGGGACAAATAACATGAAAGATTGGTTTGCTATGTAGAAAGGAACAATGTATGAACAAAATGTAGGCCTAGTTTAACAGTCGGAAGTTCTGTTTCTTGACTAAACATCCTAAGGAATGTAAGAGTATTATGAGATCTTTGTAGAATTTTACTGCAATTATGTTTTATAATTAATGATTTCACTTTGAATATTTCATATACGTTTGGCAGTTGTCTTTTTCAAAATGATTACCGCCTCAATTCGATTCCGTTTAGTTAAATTCAATTCAATTTAATTCAATCTATACAGATTAACGATTTGTGACGTGGAAGTTGGGATGTCTTTATCTGCATTTTATAAAGGTAAAAAGAGAATGGGGTAGGAAAGAATTACGGTTATGGTAATATTAAACACCTACATCTCGTCGTGGCAGTAAAACTGGGGAAAACTGGAGAAAAAACATAATGTTAATGTTTACCCATCATTTAAAAATGATACAACAGATGATATATTTGTAAGTAGATGACATCGGAGAAATTCAATTTCTTTGACGTATCTATTTCGATACACACTCCTTGGGAGTGTTTCGCAAAGATCCTAAGTGAAACTTAACTATAAGTTGGACTTAAGTATTATGGAGAGGCATTTGTAACCTTAAAATAAAATATATTCAAATCAGATATTTTAGGCTTTTCATAAATTCCACATCAAGAACATAAAATCCCCTTGATAAAAGAAAATATGATTGGTTTGAATCAACATTCTGTGCCTTTTAAAATAACTTTTATAAAATATTTTCAAAGATGCTAACGGTTTTCCATAATTGTCAAGTCCAACTTACTAAGGATATTTGTAAAACACCCCCAATTCTTTAACCTGTTTTTGTACACAGTTTTGTAAAGTACCTTTAATATACACCTGTCTGAAATGTCGTATTTTGTATTTTTCCTCACGTTTTTTCCCCCTTTATTATTAAATAGTTATAGTAAGTATGTATACACTGTAAACCTAGCCTATAACTAAAATGTACATTATTTCGTTGCATGCATACGGTATTTTTGATTGATACTGGTAAAGACCGTCAATGGTTGACAGAGAAAGAGGAGGAGACGGCAGAGAGAAATGGATGGATGGAGATAAAGGAAGAATAGTGGAGAAAGCGGGGGTGGAAAAATGGTGTAGTTACCGTCCTATACTCTTCCAAAGATACTAATGTAAGCAAATAAAACGTCTTGCTCTATTATCCAGGATTATAACAAAGTGGATCTCCAAAATAAAAATATTACCACCTCTGAAAGCCTAAAAAATGATGAATATCGCCATTAAGTTCAAAGGTGCTTTTACGCTCTGTGGGAAAACCTACTTCTATTCATAAATGCGCGAACTGCATGATATTGACAGACGATCTACTCAAGTGTGATTTTACCATTGTAACCACGTTTGTATTCAAGGACACAATTGAAAAGAGAATACTTGTGTGTGTGTGCCTCGATTGCGGTGTCTATCCACATTCGAGCATCAAAATAGAGTTGTGAGAGCAAATATACATACTATACCATTATATTTAGTTATCACTACATACACATATTTTCTCGACTGTACAATATTTTGCTGCTTGCCAATTAGAGTGCTTTCAACAATTTTTCTGGCAATCTTTTGTTTCGCTTCTTGGCTCTTGATTTATGATAAGATTGTTTAATCTTATTTCTCTTTCAAATACTTATCATACATATTCCGCTAAAATGTTGTATATACACCAGAATGCGATAGTTATTACAATGTTCTTCATGAAAAAGTTTGGTGCATGATGCGGTGACCCAATGTGACCGACTTGCATTCCCTTTTTCCCCCGAGGACAATGTCCGGGTTGATATTTTTTCGTAGATGACACGGATGGTAATAGCAACTTAGACCATGTTCGGTCAGTTCTTATTGGGAAAAATGGGACGACTATTTTGCGACAGTTTACTGACTCATGTACTCTTTGCACACAGTTTTGTTAAGTACCTTTAAAGGGAAATCCTACCTTGTTATCAAACTACTCTAGAGAAAAAGAGCAAACATCTGAGAAGAAGACAGGTGAAAGTTTGAATGAAATCGGACAAAAATGAGAAAGCTTTGAATATTTGAGAGTTATTGTAATCACTGTATAGATATGGACTATTCAAAAATTGGCTGAATCGGTAATTATCTGCGGTGTAGTGGGTGGCAACATTCCAAATTGTTCCAACACACAAAATTACTATCAACAAAAACATTATGACTCAGAAGGGTCTATTCTCTTAAGAGGACCCATAATAATATGATATTCATAATATATTTTAGGGAGAAGGCGCTTATGCTAAAAAAAGAGAAAGATAATGATTTGTTCTTT